CCCCCCCCAATCATTTCCGTTTTAGCGCTGTATGGTGTGCAGCGGGCATCTGATCCATGCCTTTTAAGTCCTGACTAATGCATCCTATTAATTTGATAGGAACATTTATATTTCCACATAAGTCAAAAATATGCATATTGTAAACCCCACAGAAAGGCCCATTCACACCAACAGTGTTGTACATCGCAGTCCCAGGCCATTAGCCTTATGGCTTCAGTTCACACTAACATGTTGCGTTGATATGTACTTAAAATAAATGAGACATATTACACTTTTGCACAGGGCAGTGCTTTCTGACATGCTGTAATGCACTGCAGCACATAAAATTTCAACTGCAGTTTAATAAAAAAAAAAAAAAAAGCAAGCACTGCAGTGCATTATCACAACACATTGCGGTACACAGCAGCACGCGTTCACGTGGCATACCAGCGCACACATGTTATGTGCTATGCATTCTATGTTGTGTGATGTGAAAGAGCAATAGGCTAGGAATCAAACAAATATAATAGGAAATGCTTAGGCAGGAAAAGTCCAGAGGCACATTACTTTATCATCTTTACACCCTGCCAGTGATTATGGAGTATGATTTGATGTGTGTCTGTGTTTTATTGCTTACATTTCTTTGTGTAATATGCTTGTTTTAATGATTAGAGAATAGGATGTACATTGTTGTATGTTTTAAGGACTAGCACAACATGCTTACACAAGACAAAGGAAATAAGCTTACTTTAAAAACTATGCATTAAAGTATTAACTACAGTATGATAACATGTCAGCACATCAAAAGAGTACAGTTTGTTACTGCAAAATGCTTGTAAATGTTGTCTTTGCATTGTTTTTGAAAAGAGTTATAGAATTAAGAATCTTATGCAACAATGTATGTCTAAAATATGTACATAAAAGCATGCATCGGAAATGCAAAAACTCATTTGAAATATACAGTATATGTGCAGTAGAGAGAGTCCATATTCTGCTCAGACACATCCCAGCCTAGCAGAAATCCAGTGACCTGGTCACAGACTCTTGTGTGTGATAACATTGGAATTCTGCTCTGATCCCTGAGGGTGTCCACTGATAACACCTGCGGCCCACTGTGCAGTAATACAAGTATGCAAAGTTAGATAAGGACAGCAATTCCCGAGTTCATGTCCAGTGTTGTTATGATGAATGCATTTGTATATGTTCTACAGTTTATCTGCATAGAGCCAAATTTAAAGTGACACTAAACACAGGAGTTAAAACTTAAAAATGTATTCAACTACCTTAACTATTAAGAAAAATGTATCTTATTTGTGTATCACTCAGCTGTAGATCCTCAAATCATCTCTGAATTGGTGCGCACACTGTCCTTCCTTCAGGGGGTGGCTTCTTTTGTTCCCCATAGTCCCTGTGTGTTGTAAAGTAGCCACCGCTACAAGCTTGCTCCCGTGATGACTATAATCCATAAAAATTAGTAAACTGAATGTGTGATTTGTAGTCCATTTACAGGAGCGACCAGGTGAACTTTAGGTCCAAAGCTGTTTTTTTTTTTTTTTAAATGGGGTTTAAGGCCAAAAGAGAATGATGGCCCTAAAGATATGGAATGTGGGAAATGTTTACTGCACAGTATGATGCTGGCCTGGGTGTATGAGAAATTATATTTCCAGACTCCTGATGTCAGTAAAGCTATAAGGCCAATTTCTTTTCTAGACAAGTTGATTAAGGACCCTACTAATGAGTTTCCTAGTTGCACTAACGTCATAAATGTCTTGCCTAAGAGCCGACACCATAAGATGCTGTTGTTAAAAAGCTTCCTAAAGCTGCCTATACTCCTATAGATTATCTGCCGACTAGCAAGATACTGAAGCTTGGCCCATTGGGAGATTCCTCTATCCACACAGTTTAGCGTAGATGGAGGAATCTGTTGCACTTTTTCCATCTGACCAGATAAAATCTGCAGATAATCTATAGGTGTATGGCCAGTTTAATATATTCTACTTTGTTACCAGGGTCTGATTTTTCCTAACTTGATAGCTAAGCTCCACTAATTTACACCTCCTGTCCTGAGACTGCCTTTACTGGTCACTGATGCACTCCTATTGGATAATAGAATACGTTTACAGACTTAGCCAGTTAGAGGAAGTCAGACCGGAATAACAAACTGGAACTAGATCACAAATAGTCTAAATTTCCCTATCATTTTAAGTCTTCTTAGGCTACATATTTTGAGGAAAGAGAGTGTGTTTGAAACTGTTGAATGTGCCGAATGTGTAGGTTCCATTGTTCACAAGGAATGGAAAGGTATATCTTACGTTTTACTATATTGCTGGGTATCATATTATTTTACTATTGTGTCTTACAGCTTTTTTTGCCAGAGAAGAATGAGTGCTCGGTGACATGCGATTTGTCTTGTAGAGGTTGTTAAAACAAGACACATCATGGGTTTAACGTATTGGACTTCAATACATTTCATCTTCTTGGCATGCTTACGCTTGAGCCTCCAGGAGGCAACGCCAACTGAAATCCTCCCATGGTTACATGAAGAGTTTTTTGTACCAGGTCCTGTCTCATCAATTGGTCATTTGCCAGAGGCAGAGGATGTTTCAACTCGGACACCAGCATGGCTTCCGCATAATGAGGTACAATTTCCTGATGAAAGCCAAACAGAAAGGAATATATCCTCTGATGTAAACCATGAGAATTCCATTTTAGTATCAGAGCAGCTACAGACTAATATTTCATTGCTTAACAAGACTTTGGAAGAGAATGAAACTGTACAGTCAATCACTCCTACTTATGTGCTAACAGACAAGCATCTGACAGAGGTAGCTATTGAAGAACCTCCAACTGTGCCACTTGTGATGGGCTCTCAATTATCAACATCTCAATGGTCTGAAATCTCTTCAGAGTTCTCTACATCAGCCTTTTCTACAGCCTCTCTCCTTGCCCTTGATACATTTTATGAGCCAGAATCCAGCTTGGATGGTTCCCACTATCTACTAAAAGAATCGGATGTTCTGCCTACAATAGCTTTAAGCAGTTCCTCTTCTCCTGGTGTATCTGATGTCCCTTTACAGCCATATATCTGGGACATATCACCAAAAACTAGCATTGATCTGCAGACACATGAAGAAGAGAAGACCACAGAAACACAATCTTTTATGACGCAGAAAATGGATGACCAAGATGAATTTTTAGCCACTGAAATGGGCCCACTTGTTAACTCTGAGATGTATTCTAGGAAAATCATTGAAGATTCAACAATACAATACAGAAAAGAGACAGATGAAGAAACATTCAGTTTAGCAATGGCTGAAAACATCACAGGTAAGAACACCTGTGAAACATATTCAAGAGAATGGGAAAGAACAGGGGTGATTTAGAAGTACAGAAAGGTACACGGGTATTAGGTTGAAGAAGTCAAAACTCAAGCTCTGTTCACTTTTATATGTTAGCAGTTCTAAATATGTGTTCTTCATAACTTATGACATCACGATGATACCCATACACTGTGGTGTTCTAACAAGGCTATGCTAATCCTTCAATGGTCATAAATATCTAATTTTCCACCTATTGTAGCTGATCCAAACATTTCTAATGGTTATAGGTAGACTAGATATAATCATTACCCACTATTGTTTATATTAACTTTGTGTTTCATGCTAATGTAATAGCTCCGATAGGAGTTTCAGATATCGGCATGGGTAATTCAGATGCCTTATTTTTACATGCAACTTTACTAACTTTACTACAGGAGGGTGATATGTTATTATCCATAATATGCATAATAAAAAGGTACATCATTATTCATCATCGTTGAGAAATCTCAAGTTTTTCACCCACGTTCGAGTTATAGCAGAAAATCAGTTTGTAAAACCTGTAGATATTAGATGACCACTGGTAGGTTGAAGTTTTCCTTCACTGATCTTCACCTGACTAGCCTTTAACAATGCAGATAGATCAAGTAAAGATGGCTTCTCCACATCGCAACATCGTGGGATCTGAAGTACAGTCTGCTTTTGTATTAAAAGGGAAAAGCTCTTGAAAGCCTCTAAAATGTAATTCAAACTATTAAATAATCCTAAAGGGGACATATGGGCACAATCCGTTCTTTCCACTATCCTGCTCCCCTGACTCGCTTAATATAAAAGGTAGCAGAACGCATACAATTAGATTGGCATTGAAAACACTGCTGTAGGATCATGATCATAGGTTGACCAAATGCCAATTTTTTAGTGATCTGATCTCTGCTGAAGAGAATCGGCCTGTAAGCATCTCTATCTGATGTTTGATCTTCCCCCCCTCCAGTAGATGTCATGTGGATCCAACAGAGAAAACAAGGAGGGAAGCGCTACAAACTAAGTGAGAGGGCGTGTTACGGAGCCAGGGAGGAGGGAATGGGAAAAGGTTGGGAGGAGCAGTCTTAATTTCTGTAGCCGAGTGATATGTTCGGCGGTCGATCCAATTTGTTCAGATGATCCCCAGGGAACATGAATGTAAATTGCGACGGTGAGGATACGGTGTGAAACAAATCAAAGAAAAAAATGTAGAAACTTACTCTTGAGTGAGGAGTGTTGCGAGGTCATCGATGAGGAGTAAGGATAGATGGTGCCACTTCTTCAGGAAAATCCTGACTGCGAATCTTTGTTAAAAGAGTCTTTTTGTCTGTAGTTCTATTGATTGAAGGTGATGGGGAGGCATAGGCAGTGTACTTCTCAATCCCTAGGGAAGGTGATGGGGAGGCAGAGGCAGTGTACTTCTCAATCCCTCACCGTCGTGTATCCTCACCGTCGCAATTTACATTCATGTTCCCTGGGGATCATGTGAACAAAATAGATGTCATGTGACCTATGTTGTGTCTTCTGAGGAGTTGGGTGGCTAAAGCAGTTGAGGCTTTTTTTTCCCCCCTCCTAAGGTTCTATTTCAGGTTATTTTTTTAAAGGAAATGTCTCTAGCCTGCTGTTGAGATTTGGCAGTAAAACCAACATTCATATAAAGACTGTAGACCATTTTGCAAGCATGTTACATGGTGTAAACTCTTTAAGTGCAGGATCAAAAATAAACATACTTTTTTTTTTGGCCACGTCAGATGATGGCTAGTTGACTAATAATGTCAGTGTCCCCCCTGGGCAACGTGCCTACTAGGAAATCCTTCCTGTATTTACACAACCTGCTTGCTTTATACACAGATGGTTTTGTGCGCAGTGTGTGAATGGAGGTGGTTAATGGTGTGGGGGAGGTTGTGCATTGCGACGTATGAGTGGGGGAGGCTTATACGGCTACAAAATGTGTACTTTATATAAACACAACCTCTGCAGGTGTATACAGAGGGCTCTGGCAGCGGGGGATGCTGGCCCTTCACCTCTGCATAACATGTGTCTAGACAGATGTACGTGGAAAGGGCTTCTGCTTTTTGTATAGCTAAGCATTAAATGGACTATATATGTTCATACAAAATCAATTCGACCTCTGGCTTTGTACTATGTATGTTCAGTGTAGAAAAGGTTGTTCATCCTTTAAAAAAAAAATAAAAAAAGAACCCTATCCTTATGTTTTGTCATTTTGTATGGTCAGAAATGACCAAGGTAAGGTCAACCTTGCATGACCTCTGGAAAAAAAAAAAAAAGCTTTTCTGTAGCCAGATATATAAAATAAAATCTGTTGTGATAGTTGTGAGCGTGTGCTGCAGTCTCTTAATGTAAGCTAAGCTGTCCTCTGTCATTGCTGTGCATTCGTTAAACAACATTCACACGCCAAAGCTCTCTGTACCTTCACACGCCAAAGCTCTCTTTACCTATCGGTATTCTGCTCAGGTAGGGACATATTACCCAGAATCGTTCATGCATGCAGCTATTGCTTCACTAAGAATTCTGTTTACCTCTGTAACTGGCATCATTTTAATTTTGCCTTTATAATTATCAGGAATATACCCTGAATGGATAAATCTTTACCATTATTTTGTAAGACAGTTTATTAGTATACTATGGGTTTGATGAGCTTGAGATAGACATTCAGACATTATACTTGCTGGAAAAAATGTTGTCTATTTGATACAGTGCCACATAATAGTATCCGATCATCAGCTGGCGCATGCAAGGTGCTAATAAATTAATGAGATACCGAGTGAACAGATCCGTCGGTGATCCTTCATTTCACCCATACTTCACAATGTAGGACCGTATTTACCTGTTTTTGGTGGCTTTCTGTGCAGTACATTTGATACATTCAATTTGTTTCAAGGGAAAAAATAACTTTGCTCATCTAATTCTTTTTAATACAAGCAATGTCTTATTTGTAAATCAAATTAGAATTCTTATAAAAGTAAAATTTAGTCATGGGATGGATGTGTGTTTTAACTTTTATGTTACCCCTAAATGTCAGTGTCCATATACAGTGAGTACCAGGGGTGTATCTACCGCAAGGCAAACTAGGCATTTGCCTTGGGCGGCACTTTCCAGGGGGACGGCAGAAAATGTGTGTGTAAATCTGGGTGGATTTTATTTCAATCAAGTCGATTTTAAATCATGATTTTAAATTGCCAGTAAAAAGGCTTGATTTTAAATCATAATTTTCAAAGAGCAACTGTCATCTCTGTCCCGCAGAGGCTCCTCCTCTGACTCGCTGTTGACTCACCCACAGTCCCATTCACTTCAGTGGGATGGCTGGTGATGCGGCAGTGACACAACAAGGTGAGGGACGTGGCGGGCAGCAGGTGAGTGGATGCCCGCTAAGTGCTCTTTTTAAATGTAAGGACTCATTCTTGCTAGTAGTAAGAATCTTTAAAATTATTATTTGGAAACAAAATGAAAGTTTCCTGTTTTAGAATAAGCAGCTGTCAGGTGAGTAAAACAGCAATATCGGAGCCGATTTTAGGTTAATAGTTTAATCACACATAGTTGGAGAACTACTCAAATTCTTTTATTTAAAACAATAACATTATGTACATATTCTTGTATTTGCTTAAACATCAATGTTTGTTTAGTAATGCATCAATGCAGTGCATGTTATCTCAGCTTGCAGAGCTTAAATTAATTGAATGAGTTTACCAAAAATGTACCAATTGCAGAATATACAGCCTCATGCTACATAAGTAAGCTCCATTTCATGCTGAATAAACGAAATTATTAATGTATCTTAAATAGAACACTATCTTTAGATAGATTTTTACTCCAAAAGCATTTTATTAAAATTTGATTCAAAATGTTTTAAAAATCAATGATTTTTATCCACCCTGGTGTAAATGTAGCCTCTTTTTATTAGTTTCCTATGAAATACCTGGAGATCCTGCCATTACTCCTCCTGTCTCAAACTGACCATTCTAAACTTAGGAGAAGATACTTGCTTGCATGGTCAGTTTGTGCATCCGTGTTTTATGAATGGAGTTAGTGTTCAGTGTAGCCGATACACCCCCAGCTACACATTATATTAACAGCGGCTCCCAGTAGGAAACTCACTGTCAAAGTGCTGCTGTATGTAGTGTGTAAACACATGGGGAAGCTTACTTTACCCCCCTGTGTGTGATATCAACAGCCCACCCTCTAACTAGAGACAAGCCCCCCGCTATGGGAAAAGGGGAGGGAATGTAGTCTCAGGCATTGTTATTTACAAAAACGCATGCAGTTACACCTATAGAAATACTAATTTGCTCTGTTAGTTGCTTTGCGCAGTAATGTTTTCACAAAAATACTTTGTTTCATTTTTGTGAATAATTGTCCTTAGTATCATACTGTTTATACCTATGTAGAGTAAAGCGGAAGCAACGTGAATTAAAGCAATATTAGACCTTCCTTTTTTTGTAATATTTACTATAAGGATGCCCACCTTTGCATGAGGCTGTTGGTTTTTCTTTTAAAATCTTTAAATTCCTCGTTTTCAAGTGGGTCCCCACAGCGTTCTTCCCCCCCTGCCCCCTGTGCGGGTGCCTGCATTGGCTAATGGAGGCACCTGTGCGCGCTCGTGCCTACAGTGGCTGTGTGCATAGACACACACAGCCCTGTGACAGGCCACTCCCCTTCTCTCTTTGATGACAGAAGGAGCCTATGACTCCTCTGCCATCAGTATCCTCCCTCCTGCAACCAGGAAGTACAGGGAATGGAGGTGGCAGGGACGAGCATCTGTGACCGGTAAGTGTGTGTGTGTGGGGGGGGGGGGACATATTGGGGGGGAAAAAGGTTCTGGGCGTTTTTTTACCGGAATGCAGAGAATGCATTATGGTAAAAAAATGCCCAGACCTTAATACTACTTGATCTAAAAAAAGAGTTTTAAGCCATGAAATTCTCTGCATACCAGCACATTATGGCAGATGGGCATGCCAATACGATCCCCTC